CATGAAACTTGGCACTTTCCTTGACGACTTCCGCCTTCCATCTTCAAATTCTAGACAGTAGGTATCTTAAATTGTCTGATATAATGTTGAAAAACAAATTGTCAATTTGCCAATGTACAGTTTCTAATTATGCAAAGCAATTAGGCATACAAGATTTTTGCTTTAGCTCTCATCTATCTCCAAGCGTTTTTATTTCATTAGTCTATCTTGCTGTTGAAAAAACCATAATCTCTCTATTTTTCTAATAAGTAATTGACATTAAAAATTTTATTCGTCTGTGCTCGAGAATCATTATTGTTTTTATGTCTACCTAGACCATTTACTCAGTCGTTTAAAGTGCCAGAAAAACTAACATGTAAATCGACAATTTTATAATAAAAGCACTTAAATTTTTACGATAGCGCTGTTTACCAGATTTTTCTACTGGATAAAATTTTATTATGCTATTTGAAATGCAATCTCAGTTTTAATACCGTTATTAAAACTGCTTTCCAAGTAGATGAAAATCAAGAAAGAAAAATAGATATTTTTTGGGACTCAGTCCAATCACCTCATTGATTATGATTGCTAAAATTGAAAAAAAAAATACAATTAATAGAACAAACGACTTACCTGTAGGAAGTTCGTTCTATATTATATGAGATATACTCGTCCAATTAGAATACACACACGTAGTCACACCATCGTGGCTTTGTCGAGCACAATTATTTAAAGATAAACAACAGCAAAAAAAATAAATAGGTACCTATCCCTTTTTATCATCGCCGGGCTATAAACCTATATGAATCATTAAGGGCCCCATACACTACGGTGAAACACGAAGGTTTTCACCGCCACGATGAAACACGTCGTGCCAAAACCGAAGTGTGTGGTAAAAAACCGTCGTGTTTCACCTTCGGTTTAAAATTCAGTCCGAGCTTGATTTTTGGCACGACGGTTCAAGATTTCCTTCCAAAACCGATGTGTGTGGGTTCAGCAGGACGTGTTTTTTCCAGTGTCGTACGCAGTGTTTGTTGTTGAATTTATTGACATTTAATTTTTCTGAATTATGATTTTTTCAATTTTAATGAAAAATCATTTCAATTTTGTAGAAAAAATCATGGTAATTCGAGCGCAAAGTGATATTGTCGCCTTCGCGAGATAAAAGCGTTCCGCTACGCGTCGCGCGTCAAACTTTCGCTCAAGCGGTATCACTTCGCGCTCTTAATACAAAAGCAAACTTTGCTTTAGCTAGTTTTTTAAGACGTAGCCTAAATAAAACTGAAACATTAGTCCATAATACTAATAAATACTATTAAAAATATTTCTCACCATACATACCCTCAAATATTCTTTTCTTAAAACTTCATATATTCCAGAACATGTTTCAGGCATAATTCGTCCTAAGGCCTGTGCGGAAATAGCTGCTGTAAATTTTAGGTCTTCATAACTTCTTCCTGTTGCTAAGTACCGCAATGTAGCGGTAAGTCTTTCATGCGGTCCAATTGCTTCTCTTGAGTGGGTACTTTTTTTTCTATTAGAGGAGTTACCAATTTCAATAATTCCAGATATGTATCTTCATCCATCCTTAAATAATTAAACCAATCGCTTGGATTCAGTTTCAATTCTTGCAACAAATTCACATGAGAAAACGATTTTCTTTTCAATAGCCAGTCTTTAGTCCACACTGTACGCTTCTTTTTTTTTGTTTTTTACAAGAACCGCAGCTGCCGCCGCCACTACTAAAAGCTGCGACTTGTTCATCGCGAACGCGGAAAAAACTGCCAAAAAATCACGTAGTGTCTGGTGAAAACAGGCCGACGATGAAACACGACGTGTTTCCTCGCGGCGGTGAAAACCGTTGTGTTTCACCATAGTGTATGGGGCCCTTTACACTGTATCAGGGCTTAAAAAAAATAATAATAAAAAATATATATTTTTCGGGAGGGCCCAAGGGAGGGATTCTAATTAGACGAGTATATCTCATATAATATAGAACGAACTGCCTACAGGTAAGTCGTTTGTTCTATTAATTATATTTCGATATACTCGTCCAATTAGAATACACACACGTAGTTATTTAAAGCTTTCCAATTATAGATTTTTTTTTTTCGTATTTTATTATTAGATATTATTAATTATTTCATTAATTAACTCTTTGGTCAAAAATTATCATTAATTTATTTCATCAACTTCCAATAATACATATTATTGTACCTATATTTTATATTTAGCATTTACATACCAAAATAAGGAAACAAATAGCTTATAACTATTAAATACATAAACAAGAAAACAAATTTAATTAGACTTGGATACTAAATATTCTACAAAGTTACATTCATCAACCAGTGGACGATTATAAAACTTAGCAAAAATTTCTGATTTTTTCGTCCAACCGGCTGCGTTTTTTATTGAATCAATGTTCATGCCTGCTCTATAAGCCGCAGATGTAGATGCATGTCTAGTACTGTGACCTTTAAATATAGATACATCTATTCCACTAGACTTCATTACATCTTTTATCCATCTGCTTATAGATTGAGTTGAGGCTTTATGAAATGGTTTACGATATGTTAAAATTAAATATTCTTCTCTATTTCTAATACTTTTAGAAACACCTAAATACTTAACTAAAGTTTTAGCTACACACAAGTCCGGATGATTTTCGGAAAAATTAAACTTTAATACAGGTTGTGGGCGATTGTTATTTGACGTTTTCAGTAAATCCGTGAAATAAATTTCCACGAAATCTTCCTCAATTTTTAATATTTTTTAAATTGATTTGAGAAAGAGTTTGAAATTCTCTGTCCTGATGCCAAAACTAATAATGTAACTAATTTCTTAACTAAATTTTTCTAATGACAAATCTTCTAAAGGATACCACTTTTTAACAAAATTTAAAACAATAAATGGATCCCAAGTTTCGTTGTATCTCGGAAAACTGGGCCTTTCCCGAAACGCTCCTTTTAAAAACCTTTTTATTAACAATTCATCATTATTAGAGATATTTAGGATAAAGGCTAACGTGGACCTATGCATATTTAACGTAGCATAGGAAACATTTTGTGAAAATATTTCTTTCAGAAACGAAATTATGTCACTAACACTTACGGAGTATACATCTATTTTTTGTCTTTTACAATATTGCCCCCACTTACTAATTGATCCACAATATTGTCGTAATGTAGAATCACTGATTGCTAAAGAGGGATAAAAGCAAATCTTTATTAGCTTCAAAAATTATTGGCTCTACCATACAAAGTCTTAAAAATAAAGAAAACCAGAACTGATTAGGCCAGTACGGAACAACCACAATCCCCATTGATTTATCCTCTATAATTTTCTTAAGAACTCGCCCAACTATAGGAAAAGGTGGAAATGCATAAAATTTTAGAGATTTGTCCCATGTAAATGTAAAAGCATTTGATGTTAAAGCTCCCGGGTCTCGCATCCAAGCAACATAGTTGTCACATTTCTTGTTCAATCGCGAAGCAAAAAGATCTATTTCCGACTTACCAAATTTTGAAACAATTTTGAATATATTCCATCATTTAATGAATATTCCGATTCTATAGAAGTAATTCTTGATTGTCTATCCGCTACAATGTTCTCTTTCGAAGCAATATAAGTTGCGTATAGCATTATTTTTCGTTTTTCACACCAAGCCCATATTTTTCTGGTAATTTTATTTAGAGAATGGTGGCGAACGCCACCCATTTTATTAATGTAAGCTATAGCTGTTTTATTATCCATACGCAAAAGTATGTTACAGTTTTTCGCTTCAGAAGCAAAACATTGTACCGCTTAAAAAATTGCTAATAATTCAAGATAATTGATGTGAAACTTTGCTTCATTTATATTCCAAAACCCCCGCGTTACTTGATCCTGGAATGCCGCGCCCCATCCCGTTTTAGAGGCATCTGTGAAAATTTCATACATATATTTTTGACAATCAATCGAGTTAGAAGAATGCCTTATATTTTGTCTCCACCAAAAAATTCGATTACGAACAATTTCTGAAATATACATAGCTGAATCATAATTCCCGTTCGATTTTTTAAGGGCTCGATATTTCTCGTGTTCCAAAATTTTCGTGTGAAACCAACCGTATTGGACAGCGGGACATACTGAAATCAGAATTCCTATTATTCTTGAAAATTCTCTAATTTTACAGCCTTCCCTCATACAAAAAGTATTTATACTTTCTATTAAGGATTCTTTTTTATCGTCCGATACGTACATAGTCATACTACAACTATTATAAATGAATCCTAAGTATTCACAAGTCTGTGAAGGTATCAAATTAGATTTTTTTAAATTTAAAATAAATCCTAGTTCTTGTAATGCTTTCGAAACACTAGCAACATTGGTTTTGACCTCAATATAAGAACTACCCAATATTAAAATATCATCTATGTAAATTAAGCATAAAATACCCTGTTTCCTAAAATGATTAAATACAGGTTTGAGAAGTTTTGTAAACATATACGGAGCTGTAGCTAAACCCATAGCCAAACAATTAAATTGGTATAGTTTTTTATTGAATTTAAAACGAAGGTATTTTTTGTGTCTTTCATATATGGGTACCATATAATAGGCATCTTTTAAATCGATTGTAGCCATATAACAATTTTTCGTTATTAAATCCTTGACTGCTTTATAATTTGCTAATTTAAAATGGGGTGGTGATATAAATTTGTTAAGTTGATTAAGATTAAGAATAAACCTATTGGTTCCATCCGACTTTGGCACCAGAAAAAAGGAAGAAAGAAATTGATTCTTTGATGCTATACACTCGCTAATGATACCTTTTTTAAGAAATTCTGATATAACAGGTGATATTTGTATTATTTCCCGTTTTTGCAATTTTTTATTGGAATACCTATATTGAAAAGGCTTTTTAATAAACGGGATTTTATATCCACTAATCCAAGACATTATAGTATTGTCTCTAGAAAAAAACTGCCAAGCATCTGAATAAAATTTCAACCTGCCCCCGTAGGTGTTAGTACATACCTCTATTTCGTGTTGGTGCGTTTGGTGTAAGGCTTGTACGCCTGTTTGTATTCCCGTTCCCTCTTCTGTGGTCTTTCTACATGTCTTTCTTTTATCCTTCCCTTGGCAAACTTGCGCTGATAGTTTAAAGAAGAGTTTCTACCTTGTGTTCTTTGAAAGGATGAACTCGATGTTGATGGAAAACTCTTGGGTGTAGAAAAAACATTTTTCATTTCCTTGCCTGTTTTTAACTGAGTTTTGACTTCTTTAAATTTGTCTGCGAAGTTATTGCCGCATAAAAACTCATCCGGCTTGCTTTCTTTAACGATTTTCTTGACCATGGGATTCAGGTTAATTCCAACATGATATTTTCTATTTGTTGAAATCATATTAAAAGCTCCACACAAATTTTTACCAGCATCAACGATGGACGGTAAAATCTGACTCTTTATATCTGTAATAGGGCACTCATCTCCTTTTAAAATAGCATCAATACAACTTGCTATTGTCGAAAGAGATAGGCCTACATGCCCTTGAATAATAGAAGAGTATTTATCTTCCTTTCTACCCTGGTCTGTCAACGAAGATTCTAACTCAGGATTTAATGCAGGTGCTTTCAAATAAGAAATATTTTTTGGAACAGGATATTTCTTTTCCATAGCCTCTATTTCAGCTTTCTCAACCCCTAGGGTAAGAAATTTGGTCCAACGATCCGCGAGAGCCTGATGTACCTCACTACCAAATATTGAATCGCTACCAGACGGTTCTTCTCCCAATAGTTTCAAGATTTCTGGGTCTTGCTCTTGTTCTTCAGGCTTATTTTGACTTAAATCTTCATTCCTCTCATCGTTCACAATAACTGGATCTGGGTTTTCACTCTCAGAGGAATCCGAACCAGAACTTATACTACTGGAGTCACCTGAAAAAGGGTGTTCTATTAAGTATATTTCATAGCCCTAAGACTTGTAAGCTAATTGGTATTATCCGAAAAGAAACATAATTATTTACTTTATCGGAACCAGTGTGCAGGCGTCTGACCACATAAAAATTATGAGCCAACTTGGTATTATCGCAAACAACTCAAATTATCGATTATTGTTTGGAACCAATTTAAAACCTGTTGGAATTACCCAAACAAAATGTATTGGAACCATTTTAAATGCCTGCTAATACTGGGCTAAAAGGTTTTGCCCAAAAAATAAACACTTTGCTTACTGGAATTTTCACGTTTTCGTCGGTTTCGTTTTCGTTCCAGGTCCCCTAACTGCTTCCTTAACTTCCTCCTCTTTCTCTCCAAGTCACCATTGTCACTATCCTCACTATAAACTTTATTTCTTTTAGGCATTTTTACTATATAATTAATTATTTCACGTAGAAAAAATAAAACTAAACTGCTTCGACAAAGCACAACAGTGTAATGATTCATATAGGTTTATAGCCCGGCGATGATAAAAAGGGATAGGTAAATTATATTGGAACTCAATAAAGACCCTTTTGTTCTCCCGAAACAATAATATGTAACTTGCTTATGCTAGCATTTATTTTATTATAAAATACGCTTGCAGCTATTGTTTTCCATTCATTTACTCTCGAGATTTCCTCGCAGTAATTTGTCTCATTTAGATTAAGTTTAAAGTTTTCATTTGTAATACTTAGTTTTGAAAATAAATGTTTTTTAAAAACAAAGTTTACTGAAGTGGAAACTTAATTGGCGCAGTCGGTAGGATCCTCAGAGTGCAAGGCTTTGGAGACCCGAAAAACGGAGTTCGTGATTTTTCGAAAAAAAAAGTAGTTCGCGAATTTTTCGAAAAAGTGTTCGTTCGTGGATTACGTTTTTGAAAAAGAACTCTTAGAACATCCAGCCCATCCACTTTCATATTTATGTGATTAACTGAGGATAAGAAGGATTAAAACCAACGTGCTAAGGAAGTGCTACTGTTACAAAGAAATTATCTGTCTGTAAGTAAACCTTCCTAACATTTTGTAATTTTGGTGCTTCATAATTAAGTCCTTTTGCTATTTTTGCTGTTGATTCGCTGAGGTATTTAATACTGTGATTTTAACACAAATTAGCTGAAAAACAAAATAAAACAAACAATTTAAAGAAAACTCTCTTTAATTCAGAAGTTTTACTTCGAATTTTGATTTTTTTGTTTTAGAGTTTTCACTCAAACTTAGAATTTTGAGAATTTTGAGAAGTTTGAGAATTTTGAGTTTTACTTTACTTTAGTTTGAAGTTTTTACTCAAATTAAGAATTTTAATTTTTACTTTTTTAGAATTTTAGTTTGATTTTATTTTATTTTCATTTCATTTTTGGAAACTTAATTGACGTTCCAAAAATAACAAATAATTTTTGAAAAAAATAATAAATAGGTATTTTTTTTTATTTTATTTTTGATTTTTATACATGAATCCTCCAACGAGTGTTGCTGGAGCCTCTAATTTAGCTCAAGCGCAAACTTTACCACAAATTATCAATCAAAACAGAATCATGGGTGAAAATTTAAAATCCATTGTTCAGCTACTCAAACCATTTAAGGGCGAAAGCTCATATTTAGAATATTTTATAAATAATATTGACGAATTTTTCCACACTTACTATACAGGTGAAAATGCCCAAAAAGAATTTGTAGTCACAGCAATAAAGTCAAAATTACTTGACGATGCTGGTAATTTTCTTATGTCCAGACCAGACTTGAAAACTTGGCCAGACATAAGAGATGCTTTACGAATTAAATACGGAGATCCTTACTCCAGACAAAATCTTATTCAAGAGTTGATGTACACGAGCAAAAATTCAAAAGAAAATATTTTTGATTATCTTGAGAAACTTAAACTTCTTGTGCATAGAATAACATCAAAAATAATGAGTGATCCAGATCTAGCAACGGTTTCACACGTCCTAGTAGCACAAAATGAGATTACTGCAGTTCAGAATTTAATAACAAATTCACCAGTAGAATTGCGTACCATATTAATGATTCGCAATCCAGAAACACTGGATGCAGCAACTACATTTATTTTAAATTATCATTTGGCAGAAAATCATATGAAGTTTAACACAAATATGAACAAGTCACATCACCAAACTCATAATCAATCTAATCAAAAATTTTCATACAAACCAAATACACAGACTTCTTATCAAACTAATAAACCCAATTACCAACAAACATTTTTCAATAACAAACCTCAATTTCCATCTCAACCCATTAACATTCAGACAAAACCAAACTACCAACAAAAATTTCCAAGTAGCTCTGGTACTTTTGGAGAGAACTTTTCCAAACAACAAAATGTGTTTGCTAAAAACAAACCTAATCAACAATTTTCCAAACCAACACCGATGTCTGGTGTATCCATTCAACCTCGTAGACAAACGTCCCAAGTGTATAGACCACAACAAAATCAAGCAGGTCCGTCTAACTATTTTAGACCAAACCCAAATGCTGGTCCACCCAGATACACGATCGAAGAAATCAATAACATTCTTGAACAAAGTTCAGAACAAAATCCTGAACAATATTTTGAAAGTGAAGAAAATGACTACACTGATTATTCTGTTAATCAAGACGAACAATCCAATAATGACTATTACCCTGAATACGACCAACAAGAAAATTATTCGGAAGAAAATTTTCAACAAACAGCCTCGGAACAAGACAATCAGCCTTAACTTTAAACAGTTACCAAATCAATCAATTACCCTTCATCGAAATACAAAATCCACCCTGTAAACTGCTAATTGATACTGGAAGTCATGCTTCTCTTATAAGACCTTCCATTGCTGAAATGTATTTCCCAAATAACATAATAAACTCACATAATAAACTTACTACTTGCATGGGAACTAGAAAAACGCAAGGAAAAGTTATTGTACCCATCTTACAAGAATTCAACATCGATGAAAATGTCGAATTTGATAATGTACAACTTCCACGATTATTTTGATGGAATCATTGGAATAAAAACTTTACAAGAAAATCATCTAAACATCGATTTTTCCAATATGAAGTTACAATTCCATTTCAATTCCGATCCGATTTCGATAACCAACTTTTAGAAATCTCTGCCAGAATAATGCAAATCTGTTACTTTAATACTAATATAACAGAGGGAACAGAAATTCTAACTCCATTCATAAATTCCGAAACTCACGTTATCTTACCAACAATTGTTAAAGTCAAAAATGGCACGATTCCATTAGAAGTACATAACCGTACAGACGAATCCCTTATCTTGAACTATCATATCGATCAACTCGAAGATAATTGTGATATTTACGAAGAAGATAATTTTGAAATCTTCAACATGGAGCAAATGCTACCTCAATATTCTAACCACTATGTAAATAATCCCTTAAATCTTCTACGAACTGATCACTTAAATAAAGAAGAACTGAATGCTTTACAGTAATTAGTTATGTCCTTTCCCACAATATTTCATAAACCAGACGAAAAACTCTCATTTACCAACCAAGTAAAGCACGAAATAAAGACAACAGACGAGATTCCTGTTCACGTAAAAACTTATCGTTACCCCCACGTTCATAAACAAGAGGTTAATGAACAAATTAAGAAAATGATAAATTAAAATATTATCAGACCGTCCTCAAGCCCTTGGTCATCCCCCGTGTGGATAGTCCCCAAGAAATTAGATGCTTCAGGCAAACAAAAATGGCGAATGGTCATTGACTATCGCAAACTAAATGAAAAGACCATTGACGATAGGTATCCTTTGCCAAATGTCTCTGACATTTTGGACAAGCTTGGCAGAAGCAACTATTTCACAACCTTGGATCAAGCTTCTGGTATCCACCAAGTGGAAATGCACCCGAGTTCAATTCCTAAAACTGCTTTCAACGTAGAAAACGGGCACTACGAATACACTCGCATGCCCTTTGGCTTAAAAAACGCCCCCGCCACTTTTCAAAGAGTGATGGACAATGTTTTATCCGGATTACAAAACAAAATTTGTTTAGTCTATATGGATGATATCATTGTTTACTCCACTTCTCTCCAAGAACACATCAAAAATTTGAAAAGAATATTCCAAAGATTGGAGCAGTTCAATCTGAAAATTCAACTAGACAAGTCAGAATTTCTGAAGAAAACAGTCGAATTTTTAGGTCATGTCATAACCCCCGAAGGAATTAAACCAAACCCGAAAAAAATTGACGCCATCAAGAAATTTTCAATTCCCAAGACCACCAAAGAGATCAAATCATTCTTAGGATTGATTGGCTACTATCGTAAATTCATCAAAAACTTTGCCAAAATCACCAAGCCTATGACGTTATGTTTAAAAAAGGATAAGAAAATAGTTCACGACTCTGAATTTATTCATAGTTTTGAAACTTGCAAAAATCTTCTCATGAATGACCCTATTTTACAACATCCAGATTTTACCGAACCTTTCCTATTGACTACAGATGCATCTAACTATGCTATTGGCGCTGTACTATCACAAGGACCAATAGGTTCCGACCTTCCTATTGCGTATGCAAGTCGCACACTAAATCCCGCTGAATGCAATTATTCAACGATAGAGAAAGAATTGTTAGCAATAGTATGGGCAACCAAGTATTTTAGACCCTACTTGTTTGGACAAAAATTCACGATACTATCAGACCATAAACCACTCGAATGGTTATTTTCCGTGAAAGACCCTGGCTCTAAGTTAGTCAGATGGAGACTTAAACTAGACGAATTTGATTATAATAAAATCAAGTATAAAAAAGGAACCTTGAACATGATTGCTGATGCATTATCTAGACCCCCTTTACAGATCAATGCCATCTCTCATACGTCAAGCTCACACACCGAATCAGACTCTGACGAAAAATTCCACAAAACCCTAGGAGCAATCCTAAAAGATACCCCTTTAAATAACGACGAAATATTACGAAAATATTTCGAAGGTACTAATCTTTTTATGCCCCAAAAACCGAAATTACCTATCGGAAAAGGCAAAGAAATAAGAATAAATGATGAACACGAAAACAAGTCACTTTCAGAATCTACTATATCAGCTGATTCTCCTCGTAACTCACCTCGTGATTCACCTCGTGAAATCACTGTACCACAAAAACCACCTCCGAAATTTAAAATACTGTCCCAAATCATCTTACCACCAAGACAAGCTCAAGCAAATCTTCCACAAGATGTACAAAGAATTCCTACGTCACTTGAAAATCCTATTTCACCAAGACGACCTCAGGGAAATTCTTCAGAACATGCACAAACTATTCATACATCACTAGAGAATCCTATTTTAGGAGCTCCCTATACCAAAAAACATATCAACCTAATCAAGTAATTTTTAGGTATTCGAATAACAATACC